CACACACACACACACACACACACACACACACACACACACACACACACTGGAATATTATACAGCCATCAAAAATGAACTTTTGCCATTTGCAATGACATGGATGGAACTAGAGGGTATTATGCTAAGCGAAATAAGTCAATCAGAGAAAGAGAAGTATCATATGATCTCACTGATATGAGGAATTTGAGAAACAAGACAGGATTATAGGGGAAGGGAGGGGAAAATGAAACAAGACAAAACTGGAGAGGGAGACAAACCATGAGACTCTTAATCTCAGGAAACAAACTGAGGGTTGCTGGAGTGGAGGGGGGTGGGAGGGATGCGGTGGCTGGGTGATGGACATTGGGGAGGGTATGTGCTCTGGTGAGCGCTGTGAATTGTGTAAGACTGATGAATCACAGACCTGTACCCCTGAAACAAATAATACATTATATGTTAATAAAAAAAATTAAAAAAAAGAATCATTAACCTTAGATAAATTCTTATATAGAAGAAGAAACTTGCCAGGAAAAAATGGCAGGGACCTTCCAAACCATGTATTTTAGTCATTCCTGGTGGAATCAGTGTCCACCACAGTTTCATTTACAAAGGATGGCACAGGCCAGATCTGACTCTTGTGTGGTTTAAATAAATAAGACCCATGGGTGCCTGAGTGGCTCAAAAAACAACAACAACAACAAATAAAACAAAAAACAAAAACAAAACAAAACTATGCAGCTCTTAGAAGAAAACAGAAGTAAATCTTCATGACCTTTCATTAGGTAATGGTCTCTTGACACCAAAAGCACAAAAGGAAAATAGACAAACTAAACTTGATCATATTTAAAATTGTATGTTATTTGTCAATTATGCCTCAGTACAAAATTTTTTAAATTTTGTGTGCAATTGAAAAATGAAAAGACAACACAAAGAGTGGGAGAAAATATTTGCAAATCATATATCTGATAAGGGACTGGTATCCAGAATATATAAAGAACCCTTAAAATTCAGTAATTAAAAAGACAAATAAAATTAAAAAATAGTCAAAGGATTTGAATAAATATTTCTCTGAAGAAGATATACAAATGGCTAATATGGCCATGAAAAGGTGCTCAGGCTCATTAGTCATCAGGGAAATGAAAATAAAAACCATAGTTATGTACTACTTCGTACCCAGTAGAGTGGTTATAATTTAAAAAAAAATGGTGAAAAGATGGACTTTTCAATCAGTGGTGATGGGACAACCAGACAGTAAGGCAAAAAGTACAGTTTGACTCTACCTCATACCATACTCAAAAACTCCAAATAGATTGAAGACTTAAGTATGAAAGACAAACAATAAAACTTTTGGAAGAAAATACTGGAAAAAAATATTCATGATTTTAGGACAGGAAAGGTTTTTTTTTTTTAATTTATTTTGAAATAATTTTAACCTTGCAGAAAAGTTGCAAATATGGTACAAAGAATTCTCATATACCCTTCATCTAAATTCCCCACATGTTAACATTTTGAAGTATTTGATTTGTCATTCAGAGAGGAATTTCCCAGTGCAAAAAGGCACAAGTCATAAAGGAAAAGATTAACACATCAGCAATGCCTCTTTATTAAAAATAAATAAAATATAAAATGTGAAAAAGACATACTACAAACTAGGATAAAGACACATATAAACAATATATAGGGGTGCCTGGGTGGCTCAGTCGTTAGGCGTCTGCCTTCAGGGCTCAGGTCATGATCCCAGGGTCCTGGGATGGAGCCCTGCATTGGGCTCCCTGCTCAGCGGGAAGCCTGCTTCTCCCTCTCCCACTCCCCCTGCTTGTGTTCCTTCTCTTGCTGTCTCTCTCTCTGTCAAAAAATAAAATCTTAAAAAAAAAAAACAATAATAAACAAGGTACAAACCTTGTGGTAGAACTGAGTGATAAACACAAACATCAGCATGGTGGTAGTTTCTAAAAGGGAGCAAAAGAGAATACAATTGGGACACAGCTCACACTTTCAAGGTAATGATTATATTCTGTTCTTTAAAATGGGTAGTTGGATACCACCTCACACCCATTAGGATGACACCTCTTAAAAAAAACAACAGAAAATAACAAGTATTGGTGAGAATGTGGAGAAAACAGAACCCTGTTCACTGTTGGTGGCAATGTAAAATGGTAGCTGCTATGGAAAACAATAGAGTGGTTCATGAAAAAATTAAAAATAGAATTACCATATGACTCAGCAATTCCATGTGAAGTGGTTTCGAATACATGACTTGCATTTAAGAAAATTCAAATGGGTTGTTAATTTCTGGCTCAGTATATATAAACATTCATTTTCAATTTTGGTATTTTATAATATAGTAAAATACCTTGGTTTAGGTGTATAACACTGGTTACCTATAGGTACTATTAAAGTAATAAGAGGACAATTTAGTTGATCTAAAAAAAATGTTTATTTTACACTTCCTGAAGCTGGCAATCTCCACCCTCAAGAGTCCAGAACGCTGCAAAGGGGACAGGGCTGTAAGCTCTTATATAAAGAGGCAAGCAGGAAACCAGGAAGAAGTACTTAGTTTATGCTGATTGGTTGGGGTTGCATATCTGACGGTATTTAGAAAGATCAAGGAACAGGGAAGTGAGTATAGCGCCCAAAGTTGGCTTGGTGTTGGGGGATTGGCCGACTGGATATATTGTGTTTCTGATCAAGTGGAGTGTTTATAGGGACATAAAAAGTTATCTAGGTTTTAGTTTGCTGATATGGCACCCTGGGCAGTAGCAGCTCTATCTTGGGCCTAGAAATTTATTTCAATGATGCAAATCACTAGAAACAATTTGCTACGTTGACCTACCCAGCTGTATCAATTGTTTATCTGTTGTATATTTAGGTTTACTCCTCTAAGCTATTTGTAGCAGGAGCCTAGAAACTGAATTTCTTTACCAACTTCATGCATCTCTGTTTATTAAAGATGGCAGAGGAGTGAAGCTATGGTTGTAATTGTTTCCTAACAACCATCAGGGTCCTATGGCACATGTTCCATTCGTCCTTTTTTATTTAAATAACAGGCTAGTTAAGGATCTTGAAGAGAATTATAGAGTTTTATGATCTGCTAATGTATTATGGTTTAATAGTATTGTAGTTCTTTACTAGAACTTTTATAAATGGGCACAGTTTGAAATGCAGAGTTTCCAACAGATATAAAAGAGTTTTCCACTTTTAGGTAAAAAAGGAAGAGAGCGTCTCCTGGACCTGATCGCCACATTTCTGGTGCTACAGTTTCTTCGCACCAAGTTGGAACAAAAGGGAATAGTCTTCAGATCACTGATGAAATTGGATGATGCTTCCATTTCCAGGTGGTTTTAATTATAGTATTAAGCAACTGGCTTATATTTCTGACCATTTCTTAACTAAATTTTGCAAGAAGCTACATGGAATTGTAAGAACAAAGAGAATATCTTGCCTGCACTCTTCTGTCATAGGCAGGCAGACACAATATTTTGCCTCTTGGTTTCCATGAAAAACCAGGGCTCAGAATGTTTTAAGTGTAGCTTACACTGGAACTCAGATCTGTGGCTCCAGATTTAGTATTCTTTTCACTATGGCCTATTGATTCTGTGTGCTTTTGGAAAATCCACAATATGACTGTTGGGACCAGGCCTGTTCCCAATAAATTGCAGGGCCTGACACAAGAATATAGATGGAAACCCACATACTGTATGTCTAAGTATTTAAAAGTTATAAATCAGGAGCGCCTGAGTGGCTCATTCTGCCTTTGGCTCAGGTCATGATCCCAGAGTCCTGGGATCGAGCCCCACATCGGGCTCCCTGCTCTGCGGGAAGCCTGCTTCTCCCTTTCCCACGCCCCCTGCTTGTGTTCCCTCTCTCGCTGTGTCTCTCTCTGTCAAATAAATAAATAAAATCTTTAAATAAATAAATGTTATAAATCAAACTAACAAACTGTTAAATAAAACACATTTTAAAGTCCTGCCTTGACAAATACAAATTCTTGAAGACCGAGTTCAAATTTAGAATTCTGTGACAACTTGAAGTTTGATGCCATAATATGACAATGTAGAGAGAGCCTGTTCTGGGGCCCTGGCTCCTAGTCCTTGGGCTGACCTCTGGCACCACAAGAGGCCTTGAGGCACATGTGAATACCCTCCTTACTTACAAAACTCCATCCAGGGGCGCCTGGGTGGCTCAGATGGTTAAGTGTCTGCCTTTTGCTCAGGTCGTGATCCCAGGGTCCTGGGATCGAGCCCTGCGTCCGGCTCCCTGCTCAATGGGGAGCCTGCTTCTACCTCTGCCTCTGCCTCTCTCTCTCTCTTACTGACTCTCATGAATAAATAAATAAAAAACATTAAAAAAAAAGAAAAGAAAACATTAAAAAAAAAACAACTCCATCCATACCCCATGCAAATGGTCATCCCTTATGTGTGTGCATATACACACAATATACATATATATACATACACATACATACCTATATAATTTGCTTGTGATTTTTTTAAAAAGGCAAGATTAGTGGGAAAACTAGCAAAACTAATAAAATATTATCTGTAGGGGGAAGAAGAGGAGACAAGGTTAGAAGCTAGGTTTCTCCTAATATACTTTGTTTTACATTTTTGACTTTGAAACTAGGTAAATATTTTGCATAATAAAGACCAGATACCAGAGAGAAGAGATTGAATATGTTAAATTATACCATGGACTGCCATCAGCAATGTCTGGAATGTGAGGAAATAAATGGCAAAAGGAAAAAGAGGGGAGGGGTAGAAGCTATAAATTAAAGGACACATGGCCCAAAGGCAATGTTAGGCCTACTTTGGATCCTGATTTGAACAAAACGCATTTTATTAAAGAGACAGAGAGATTGAAAATTAAGCAGGGGGAATGGGAGAGGGAGAAGCAGGCTACCCGCAGAGCTCGATCCCAGGACCCTGGGATCATGACCTGATTTAAACATTACCTGGATATTTTGTGATATTAAAGATTATTTATAGCTATTTTAATGTCATGTTTAAGAAAAAGTTCTTGTCCCTTAGAGATACATATTTACAGATGAAATTAAAATAAATAAGCAGACCTATTTTTACCCTCTCACAAAGACTGATTAAATTCTCAATTCCCAACAGCATCAAACACAAAATAGGTACTCAGAAAATAACAAATTGAGCATTTTACCGTACTTATTTTATACTTCCATTTTTAAGAAAAGCAGCACCTTCTCATGGTGAGAAAGATGGAAATTTATTAAGTGACTATCAAGAAAAATACTTCAAAGAGCTAGTAGAAGCACTGACAAGTTAATATTTGATTTAATAGGCATAACCAAAGAGGCACTTCTTCTATTTAAATCTTTTTCAACTGAGACAGAGGGAAGAGAGGCTTAGGAGAAAAGTTGACCAGAGCAAAGCTATTTTGATTTTTAGGCTGATCCTTAACCTAAAAGTCAACAGGTAACAAGCTACAACTCATGGAAGACCACAAGACCCCACGCCCTCCAGCAATAAAAGTCATAAAGACTGGACATTCCTAAAATTGCTCCTGTGGGTAATTCTACAACTCTAAGACAATGGTAAAACTAACTGCCCAATGTAAATGTTAAACCCAAAGTTAAAGAGTAAGCCCCTCCTTATATGGTTAGCTAAAAAAAAAACAACAACAACAACAACTTATAAAACCCTTTGTTAGAGGCAAGGGTTGGGGGCATTGGTCCTCTTCCTCCCCTGGGAAGAGAGGCCACTACTTTATCTATGAAGTAGCTCCTGTCTTACTTGTATACTTATTAAGTCTTTGTCCCTTTCTCTACATGGCTTGCTCTTAAATTCTTTCTCTCAAAGAGCCAAGAACCCTCTTGGCGAGGGGCATAAGGCCTTCCTTCTTGACCTGTCTGGCATCACAACTATGATAGCCATTAGAACAAGTATTAATAACTTTGAACCTACTCTTGAATTGCAGTATCACAAAGTATTATACCAAGATTTTAAAAAATAATGAAGTATAAAAAAAATAATGAAGTATATTGCATCACATTGCTCTTATTATATGACGGTTATTGTGAGAGCAAAAAGGTTTGTTGGCACTTTAATAAGTAAAACTTTTAAGTAATTTTTATTTCCTGTTTATTGCATATTTAATTTATAACTTCTGCTTCATGATGCACATAACATTAATACAGTAGCACATTGTATGGAGGTATATGAACAAAACCTTCATACTAGTGGGATGGTCAGTCAAAATTTAGAGGTCAGCTGAAGGAAAACCAGTGGAATTAGTGAAAATATTTAAAATTAGTTTTGTTGCTTTCCATAGTTCATAACTATAAGTAGACTAATGATTACTGGGAAACAGGTCTTTTTTTTTTTTAAGATTTTATTTATTCATTTGTCAGAGACCCAGCAAGAGAGGGAATGCAAGCAGGGGGAGTGGGAGAGGGAGAAACAGGCTTCCCGTGGAGCAGGGAGCCCGATACAGGGCTCGATCCCAGGACCCTGGGATCATGACCTGAGCCAAAGGCAGACGCTTAATGACTGAGCCACCCAGGCGCCCCAGAAAACAGGTCTTTTAATCACTTTGGACGTGCTCCCCATTTAGTATGTTTGTGTCATCATGATAATCATCTGACATTTATTGATTGCCTACTCTGTGCCAGGGACTGTGAAGCCTGTGAAATCCATGTGTTTTGCTAATCCCCACAACAAAGCCCTAGGAGCTCATGTTATTATCCTAATTGAGGAAACGGAGACTTCCAGTGTTGAATGAAGACTGCACCATATCACACAGCCAACACTGTGTGATTTCAGTCAGGATTTGAACTCAGCTCTTAGCCACCACACTATACTGATGACCCTTTCCCAGTTCACAGGGAAAAAAATCAGGAAGATGGAGAGAATTTTCCAAATTTTTAGTTCCCCCATAGAATTTTTTTTAAACTCTAGTATATGTTACCACTTGCTTGCTAATAAATTCTAGCAGGTGACAAGATAAATGAGGAAGTAGCTAACTAGTATTAGTGAAAAATCTCAGAATTTTTGAGTCTTGAATAGACTTTTGAATATTTGACAGTCTTGGATGTTTGATATCATTTTATGCACACAAACTTGAAGTTTTTATGTTATGCAGTTTAGTAGTATGTTGTTCCTGATTTGTATGACAGAATATATGGCTGTTTCATGGGTGAGTCTTAGGTATTTTTCTAACTAATCAAATTGAGAATTCCTGGTACAGTAAAAACGAAAGAAAAATAGACACCTGGTTTGTAAAATAGTATTGAGTTTCTACTTGAAGAATGGATGGATTTAGATCAAGAAGAATGGAAAGGGAATGACCAAAAATATATATATATATATAAAGTCTAGAGGAAGCTGAGTTGTCCTGGAGGCAGCAAGGAAGTCTGTGAAGCATTTGGAAGCTGGAAAGTGATGGGTATAGTATATTTAAAAATGTAGGGGCGCCTGGGTGGCTCAGTTGTTAGGCATCTGCCTTTGGCTTGGGTCATGATCCCAGGGTCCTGGGATAGAGCCCTATATCAGGCTCTCTGCTCAGCGGGAAGCCTGCTTCTCCCTCTCCCTCTCCCTCTCCCACTCCCCCTGCTTATGTTCCCTCTCTCGCTGTGTCTCTGTCAAATAAATAAATAAAATCTTAAAAAAATAAAAATAAAATAAAAATGTATTAAGTTAAAAGCACTGTGTCAGTCTGATAGAACTTTCATAAAATGTCAGAATTGCTTTTATTATATATCTTAATTTTTGACAGAATTATTTTGTCTGATATGATGTGCTAGGATTTGATATTGCATTACATTTTGTATATAATTATATTCCGAAGTTGATGGAACCATTTATTTTTAATCTAGAAATATTCCCTGGACTTTTGAAGAAATAAAGAAAGCAAGTGAATGGGTAAGAAGAACTGAAGGACAATATCCATCTATCTGCCAACGGCTTGAATTGGGTCAAGATTGGGATTCTGCCACTAAACAGCTATTGGGGATCCAAACCATAAACACCACATCTCCTCTTCACAGAGTTCTTAATTACAGTCAAAGCTGAATCATCTGAAGTTGTATTTTAAACATTATTCATGCTTCCATGTATAAAATAATCAGGTATCAATAGATACCTATAATGAAGTTTAATTATGATTTTATTCAGTGTAGCACTCACTTTAAAATAATGAGAAACACAATTGATTATTTTAATGAACAAGTGATAACAAAATATTACAATATTACAGATTTGTGTTTAAATATTTTAAGGTGATAGGAGACACATCTGGCTAGTCCTGGAGCCTCATTCCCTTCTCCCCTTTAAGGACTCTAGTAGAGAACTGGCCCAGCTGGACTTAGTAAGCTGGGGAGAAACAAGGTCTTTGGCTGATGTCAGTGTTCCTGGCATGCAATCCTGTTTCCAGGGCCCTGAGTATCCAGACCTTTGCCCTCAATATGCATGTGGTTCCTAGTCTATAGATCCCTTGATACATCTTTTTGTCACTTAGAGAAACTAGGTATCCCAAGCAATTCTTTCATGGATCTTGCTTTTGGTGTTGCCTCTAAAATCCTGAAGTCATCTAGATTTCCTCCTATGTTATCCTATAGAAGTTTTATGAATTTTGCATTTTACATTTTGGTCTATGATCCATTTTGAGTTATTTTTTATGAAAGCTGTAAGGTCACTGTCCACCTTCCTCCACACTATCACTTCCAGGCCATTACCTCTCTACCTTTATGTAAAAACCCTGGTTTGTTTTTTCTTGTTTTTTTAATTTAAATTCAATTAGCCAACATATAGTACATCATTAGTTTTTGATGTAGTGTTCAATGATTCATTAGTTGTGTATAATGCCCAGTGCTCATCATATCAGGTTTCTTTGAGATTCAGTCTTTTAGCTATCTTCCAACCTGTCCTTATTGCTGTGACTTGCCAAATGCCCCGTACCTACCCTCATTCACATAAGCTTCAGGATTTCCCTTTCTACTGCCAGTCCTGCCTTCATCTTGAGTGACTTCCATTATCCTGATGTGTGACCCTTCCTAATTCCCTGGACCTGAACTATAACTATGTCTTGGCAGAATGTTTTGTGATACTCAAAGGATGGGAAACTTGTGAGGAGCTACCATGAGACCCTCTCCCATCCACCTATCTCCCTGAGAGGCAGACATAAGACTACTTCTCATCACCTCCCAGTTCTGAGGTGATATGAAGCTCAGAATACAGCTTCAGACTAAAATTCCTCCTAGCTGCATCTGGAATTAGCTCCTTGGCAGTGATGTGTCCCACAACTCACACTGCAATTATCTAGCTCTTCTTGGAGTGTGGGACAAGGACCAAAGGGAGCTGGCATCTTTGACTACTCTTCCTCTTGCTGTTTATACAAGTAATAAACCATCTAAATCTAAAATGGCTTGTTATGTCTTTATGGCTAAATCAATCAGGTCTTGCCCTTGGCCTTGTCTGCTTGTTTGCTTGACATAATCATCAAGATAACTCTTTTCTTGTTTTATCAGATTAAGGAATAAAAGATTGATAATACCTAGTAGCAGAGTGTGTGAAGGTAAACAGACTTCCTTATGTTGTTACTGGAAACATATACAAGTAAAACAAAGTTTTGCAGTATTTATCCAAATTTAAATCACTACCCTCCTTGACCTATAAATTTCACTAATAGGAATTCCACTTCTAGAAATTCATCTTGCCAAGATATGGACACACACACACACGCATATGTTATATACGCATATGTGTGTGTGTGTGTGTATGCATATATATTTTACAGTTGCAGAACAATGTGGAATAAAGCTCACTTAAAAATTATATAAATGGGTGTTTATACATGTATGAGATAAAAGTCTGTCATGTCATATTCCAAACTGGCTACCTTTGAGGAACAGGAACTTTATTTCTATCTTATATTATATATCTTATATTATTTCTATCTTATATATTCATTGTAAAAATTTTTACAGTGAACATATACTTAAATTTATCTCAAAAATATATAAAAGTAGAGAAAATAGTATAATGAACATAAATTCCATCATTTAAAATATTTTGCCAAGTTTTTATAAATGTAGAACCGTCTTTTCTTCCCTTTTCTTTTGCTATTGACTTGTTAAAGAAACAAGGTCAATTGTCCTATAGTATGTCCCACATTCTGGATTTGTCCGATTGTTTCCACTTTTTCTTTCCCCATATTTCTTGTAAACTGGAAATTTGATCTAAGCCCCTGAATAGATTAAGGATCAGTATTTTTATCAATAGGAGTCATATAGTTTGGTTGTTCTACTTCTAGTAATGCTAACATTGATCAGTGCATTTTCCAATGTGAAGTTCTGTTTCTCCTACAACCGACAAATAGTCTGAAGAGATACTTTGGCAGCCAGTTCCTCATCAATCTTTCACCTAACAGTTGCCTGAATCATTTCATGAAATATTGTGATTCTCTGTTTTCTTCTACGCTTGTTAACTGAAATTCTTCTGAAAAAAAAATGAGCTTTCCCCATCAACTAATGTTATTTGATTACAGCATTTTTAAAAACTTACTTTAAAAAGATATCTAATTATTAGAATTGTTGTGTGTCTTCCTTTATAGACTAAGTCTGTGCAGGGCAGAGAGACTGTTAAGAAAGAGACAACGGGCCCAAAATGGAATTATCTGTGTCAACCCCCACATCAGCAAACCAAGACTTGATACCTAACCGAATTGCAGTTTCAGGCTCTTCTAGGAATATAATCTTCACCAGTAGTCTGGAATTTCCTGGTAGTACTGGTGAGGTAATCCTCTTGATAGACCCCAGCCTTCCCCAAAAGGACAGTGAATTTGCCTGAAATAATCCTTTCTTTTGTTTATGACTTCCTTGCCCTCCCCCTTTCTGTCATGAAAAGCCTGTCCTTTTCTGCATTTCTTTGGAGCTCCTTTCTATTTGCTAGATGGGATGCTGCCCCAGTCGTTGAATAAAACCAGTAAGATCTTCAAATTTAGTCAGCTGAATTTTAATACCATGCTCTATTGCTCTTTGTATATGCTCTTTGTAATGCTTAGTATAGTCATGCACAGGATGCATTTAGTAAGCTAAATAAATAATAAATCAATGAGCCCACTCAAGATCTGATGAGCCTCTTCATGATATGGAAAACAAAGGCAGAAGAAAAATTATTAAATTTCCTACTACTTACAGCCCATTGACAGACAAGTCCTTGAAACGGGCAGAGTGACATTCCTTTAGGGACTCACCTGCCTTGATGTTGATACTTTCCTAAGGGCAAAAAGCAATATTAGCCTGACCCTCCAGGATCCTGTAAGTCTTTAACATACAAAAATTCCTTTGGAAGCTTCATCTCTACCCCTGCAAGAAATATGTTGGCACTCATCCCCCAAGCATATGACCCACCGATACACATCTGAAGGATCTCATAATAAATGACATTTCTCAACAATTGCTAGGCCCCTCAAGGTCCCGGAAACCCTGCTTCCAAATTCCTTAGAAACTTAAGCTATCCTCAACCCCCTCCCAACTTGAAAGCATATAATGACCCCAGCGCAGCTCTTGAACCCCACAGGTCCTGTCCCCATGCTTTAATAAAACCACCTTTTTGCACCAAAGATGTCTCAAAAATTCTTTCTTGGCCATAGGCTTTGAACCCTAACATCTTTCCTACATCATCCAAATGGATCTGCAGGATCATAGATGATTCTTTAGTTAACCTCAGAGTTAATCTGAAAGAGTTAATCTTATAAATTAAGTCCACCATTCAAAGAAACAAAAATAAAAAGCTCTTTGGGGCATCTGGCTGGCTCCGTGAGAAGACCTTGAAACTCTTGATCTTCAGTTTGTGAGTTTGAGCCCCATGTTGGGTGTAGAGATTACTTAAATAAAACTTTAAAAGAAATTTAAAAAATTAAAAGTTCGTGGGGGCACCTGGGTGGCACAGTCGATTTAAGCTGCTGCCTTCGGCCTAGGTCATGATCCCAGAGTCCTGGGATCCCTCTCCCCACTCATGCTCTCTCTCGCTCTCTCTCTCTCTCTAATAAATAAATAAAATCTTTTAAAAAAATTAAAAGTGCACTACCATAAAGATTTTATTTGCAATTTAAAGTGAGAAAAATATTTTACCCTTAAGTGGATTATCCTAGCAACTTCGGGTGACCTATCTTTGTCAATCCTGGACAAAATACTTTTATCGCGTCCTCTGATATTTTCAATGCGGAAAAAATATCCCAAGAACTTGGAAAACAATTGTTTTGGGCCTGTTACTTAAAAAAATTTTTTCCTAACTTTAAACAATACTAAGATATAAAAGCACTATGTTTGATTCTATCGTTCACACGCGTTAAACGAATCAAAATTACACATGCACGAATGGCCCGGCATCCCGTTCTGGCCCGCTCAGGTCTGGGCAGAAGGTGGGGGCTGCTTTCCTAGAAAGGCCCCCGTCGACACCGTCAGGAGCAACTGGAAGAGGGAAGAGACCCCGCGCAGCGTTTGGTCCCCTCAGGCGCTTGAGCTTCTCTTCCAGTCTGACTGCCGCGCTATGGTGTTCCCTGGCCGCCCCTTCCCAACACGGGAAGCTCCCGAGCCCGCCTCCGCCGCCTGTTCCCCACTCAGCGCTGGAGCCCCAACGTCTCCGAGGGTCCATGTCTGCCTCACTCCTTTCTCCCCCGCGCCCTGACAAGCCCCTCCCCGCCCCCCCACGCCGTTCCCGCCCCACCCGCTAGGGGCTCCCAAACAGCCTTTCCGCTCCCCTCCCCAGTACCAGTGCCTACCTACCGATCCTCTCTCACGGCCCCATCCGCCCCGCCCTTCCGCTGGGGCGACCCCCCCCTCGGCCCGCCCACCCGCTTCCCGTAGGCTCCGCGGGGCTCCAGCGCGCCCGCCTCGATGTGATTGGTTTCAGTGTGTGTCGCTCCAGGGTCTCGAGTCCGCCATTGGCTGGTTTCCCTCGCAGCGTCACGCTGCCAGAGTGGATTAGGGCCAAGTGCTGAGCGCGAAGAACCGCCGGGGTGTGTGTCGCAGCAGCTCTTCCTCGGCGGTTTGCTGGGCTCCTATTATGGCTGCGGTGGCGGCGGCGGCCGTTGCCGAGGGAGCGAGCATGAGTGCAGTTCCTGTTTCAGGTGCCGACAGCAATGGTGAGTCTCCTGAAGTCGAAGGAGAAGGTGTTGGAGCAGTGGACGAAGAGAAGGACGCAGCCACGAAAGGAGCGGAGGCAGTTGGAGACAGCGAGGAGGACGGAGAGGATGTGTTTGAGGTGGAAAAAATCCTGGACATGAAGACCGAGGGGGTACGTGTGCGCCGGGGGAGGCGAGGCTGGGCCTGCAGGGCTTGAAGTGGAGAAGCGGGGAGTGATGGGACTTCTGTGGAGGGTTGCGGCGCGAAGACGCAAAGCCCTCCCAGATTTCACGAGCTGGAAAAGACCAGCTTGTGCAGACACACGACGTAGGCGGGGGGAAAGGAACGTGACAGCCAGAGCCGACGCAAGCGTGCGAATCATGGGAGCAGTGCATTGACATTCCTGAACGGACTTTTGGGCTGTGGCTGTGAGGGTACGTTTCAAGAAGTTTGAAAGGGTTGTGTGGCCCGGAGAGATGAAGCAGTTTCGGTTGCGGTGTGTGAGTGTCAAGGGTGCAGACAGTTGGTGAAGGATTTGTCATGGTAATCAATGTTTAGATACCGGATTGGGGCCACTGCTTTGTGCTGGAAAGGAGTGACTCTGGAATCGTGCTTCTCTTCATAGTCCAGTGTCCACGCCATCCTTTCAGTGTTTTCCAAAACCATGATCAATTTTCTAGTTTAAAATCTTTTGGCATTCCTCTTCGCCCTCAGAACCTCTCCCAAGAGGGTGGGATTTAAAGGTTTTCAAAACCTGACCATTATCTTCCCTCTCTCCTTGTTTACTATGTGATTGTAACCCACAGTAACACTTGAAATTCTTCATCACACTATGCCTTGGCGCTTACTGTTCTCTCTCCTCCTTCTCAAGTCTTTCAGGTGTTACTCCCTGAGGGTCAGTTTCTCAGTGAAATCCGTTTTTGACCCTGATCCCTGCAGGGTGAGGGGCTTCTTCAACTATGCCGTTGTAACAATTTGTTCAGACCTGTTTCAGCACTTAAAGCATTATTCTTTATATGTTTGTGTCTTCTAGGTTATAGGCTTCTTTAATAAAGGGAATATGATTTTTATTAATTTTTGTATCACTGGTAATCCAGTGTCTAGTATGCAGTAAGTGCTTTGTGTATATCAGATTATTAAATGGGTGAATGAATCATTGACTGCAGGCTGGGTGAAGGAGAGTGGGTGGAAGGATGGACAGTAGGGAAACAGTTTATTTCAGTAGGTAAGGTCTCACATGGTAGTTGGGTCTCTGTATTTTTTTTATTGTCTATTATTTTCTGTTTGTCATGTGCTACCTTGTGTTAATTTTTTTGTCTATTTAACAAACTTTTTTTTTTAATCACATGCTGTGTGCTAGGTGTCGTGTTAGGTCCTGAGGATATAGAGATGAATTGTAGCATACATACACAGTTGCTGACACTGAAGAGTCTGTCTATTGGGAATAAATAATTGAAATCCAATGCCATTAATATTTTTGTTAGTTGCAATACAGTAAAGATAAGAACTTTATTTGGTGTAATTTTCCCAAATATATTACAAAAGCGCCTTGAGATGAGAGTAGAGCCAATCTTGGACTGTTTTGTATCCCCTGCATTTAACACAGTGCTTGGCACATAGCAAATATTTAGAAAAATATTTGGTTAGGGGAGTAATATCTTTAGAATTAAGGTGATTCACCTATTGGTATACTTTTTAAAATTTTTTTAAATTCATTTTAATTCCAATGTAATTAAGTTCATACAATATTTAATATTCCTGGTCCCAAAAAATTGTAGGCACTGTACCCAAAGTCTCATATTCTAGTCAAAAGCGGATGAAACTAAGAAGCTTAAGTGTTTAAGGCAGTAAAGGAGGGTTATTTATATCACTTTAGTGATGTAAAGTTGGGTGAAAATTCTCGTTCTCAGGGCCTTGTATTTTTAGGTGCTTTTGAGAATGAGTGATTTATAAGATGAAAAGTATTAGCTCAGCAGAACAGGACTACATCGGTTACTTTTTAAGTACAGCTGAGTGAGCCAGCAGTTGGAAAACATAAGTGTCCTGATAGAGTTTTTTGGCCTCCTTATAGTCTTAAGATCTATGGTGTTTCTGTTCACAAGCCGCCAGACTGTGGTATTCTGTTATTGACTAAGACAGTCATTATGATGAGTGTTGACTTGCAGGAATAGCATTAATTCTAAATTTATATATTAGCCATGTTCTTTCTTTTAGTTTATTGCTAAATGTAATTTTTTGTATGTTTTCAGAACAATTAAATGAATCCGACAGATCCTGGGGTTTTGGCTTCAATTTTGAATTGGAGTCATTTTTACATAATAAAAAGCTGGAACTTGTTAATATTTATGGGAATTTGATTTTTTTAGTGTACAAATAAATATTTTAATTATACAACTTAGTAAATTATCACAACGCCAACACCTGTGTAACCTCCACCCAAGTCAGGAAATATTAGACTGCCAGCCCTAGAAACCTCTTTTGAATCCGCTTTCACATTAGTATCCTCTTCCATCCCCCAAAATCACTGTCCTGAATTATTGTATGGTAATAGCTTTCTTGCTTTTCTTTGTAATTTTTCCACCTAAGGATGCATTCCTTGACACTTGAGTTTAGTTTTATCATAAAATATATAAAATAAATAAAAAGATTTTTATTTATTTACATTTATTTATTTTTAAAAAAATTTATTTATTTACTTGAGAGAGAGTGAAAGAAAGTACAGAGGGAGAGGGAGAAGCAGACTCCCTGCTGAGCAGGGAGCCCGATGGAGGACTCGATCCCAGGACCCTGAGATCATGACCTGAGCTGAAGGCAGATGCTTAACTGACTGAGCCACCCAGGTGCCCCTGTCAATTTTAAAGCAACACTAAACCCTGGGTGGCTCAGTTGGTTAAACATCCGACTCTGGATTTCAGCTCAGGTCTTGATCTCAGGGTCATGAGTTCAGGCCCCGAGCTGAGGAAGAAGGAAGATCACTGTCTTTGAGAGAGGA